TATTTCAGATCTCACAGGCACACATCCAAGTCACACGGCAGGCAGGTGTCAACATGCGACGAGTCGCACAGTCGTGCGGATTCCGGTTTCAGATTGGCAGCTTTGCAGTGTGTCTTCAGTGTACATCGGCCTCGATCTGACTTTTTGGCTCCCCATCGCAAGATGGTCGTGGCATAGCCTTCTCCCGCCACCAAGAGCATGCGAAGCTGCATCCTTAACGGATGTTTCGACAGGGGAAATCATGTGCGATAAGTGAGTCAGTGATAAGCATGCGACAGTTCTGGTTGCTACGTACGATATGTGGATCTGCGGTGCCCTTGTCGTCACATCGCGGTTCCATGACTGAGCCACCATTCGACTTCCACCGCCTCAAGCTCCTTAGGTTTCTGACTTTGCTTTCACCCAAGTGGTGCCATGCAGGGTCGCCCCCGTGTCGCACCAGCCGTTGGTGATTGGGGCCGCGTGCACATTGCGTGCATAACAGTTACGGCCGCTTGCCGATACTCGGTTGCCGGAATTTGCCGGACCACATAAGACTAGCTTACATTATTAGCCTATGTGATACCCTGATCATGAGAAATGAACGTGTTTTGTTAGTTTACGTAATGTCAAATGCTGTCGTGAGCATTTTAACTTGGATAGACACTAGATGATTCCTCGTCTTCAGATTCCTCGCCAGTAGATATTATGTGGCTGTGCCAGACAACGAAACTTTCGTGTGGATGTTGGTTCGCTTGATAAACATCGGAGCTCCACAAAGCAGCGGCATGTGAAAAATGACGTCCTTCAGCTCGCTCTCCAGCCGACGGCCGGCCTTGCAAGAACACACGGAACATACCTAGTCGACCTTTTTGGTTGGGGATGTCGAAGCATTGTCTGACAGAACCGTGATGGTCGCCGCTAAATTGTGGGTCAAACCGCGGGTGCTCGTGGGGATGTTGGCTCATCTGCAGTCCACGTGATAGCCTCACGTCCGGCAGGGCCTGCAATGCTTTCGCTGGCCCTTGTTCGAGGTGGTCCAGCCTTGGCACTCTGGGAGCAAGGACTTTCTGCCTCTTAGCAAGCAAGGCTTCCTGATCCGTAACTCTTCCGACGCGCAGGAATTCACAGCCGACAGACCCGGGGTAGCGCAAGAAAGGACGGCATGGCTCATGCTGTGGCATGAGGCTCTGGCACCACACCAAGTTCAACAGCTTGTTCTGAAGGTTCAAGCGGCGTGACGGAAGGAAGCACCGTTGTCTGGCAAGCACCGTGGGTGGGCTATGGTGGGTTCGCATGGCTTGCCGTCCTTTTCTTTCTAGATTTCCCGCGTGCCTGTGTTTGCGTCTGCACCAAATCCGTCGCCACACCCAGCGAGGAGAGGAATTCACTGCAGGGTCAAACTGCCCTACCCTCTTCATGCTCTCTCACATGCCACTCCGCAATGACGGTGAAAATTCTGTAGCTTCGGTGATGACGAGACACCACCGGCAACACTGGCCCACACGAGACTGCGAGCCTGAAAATGCCAGACCTTGGTATCACGTCCACACATGGTCATCTGGGCACGGCACCTCAAGCAAAAGAATGAGCTGTCGGTCGGACTGCGTGGCAGCATCCGCTGGCAATTCTTTGAAGCCTCCGCGCGAGCACTATTTTGTCCTTACTCCCGAGGCCTCGCAAGTCCTGCACGGCATGCACTCCCACATACTGTAACACTCCGGTGAGATTTGGCAGTTGCTGGCTTCAACTCTTCGAACTCGGCAGATGGTGTTGAAACATCTTGGCTGGGCTTCGATGTGGGGATATGTGGGGTCAAACCAGATTGGACTGCTCGGTTTAGCGGGGCGCGTGGGCGCCGGCGAGGTTTCTGGAGTTCCCAAGAAGTGAGGCCACAAAGCCGAGGAGCGACGACCATGCCTATGATCCGTCATGGTGTTGATATGACCATCGAATGTCAGAGAATGTCAGAAGACCTAGACTTCATTTTCCGCTCCGAGGCCTGAGGCCTGGACGCTTCTGCAATGGGAATTTCGGTTCGGATCACGAAAAGAGCTGCGAGATTCTTTGACCTCTTTGGCACGGAAGTGAAGTGAGTGAAGTGCGAGCATTGGCTTTGTCATGCACGGTTGGGCCGCGGCCTCCGGCCTCTCCGAGCCGAAAGCGATCGCGCGCATGTGCACTCTCGGGCCGCTCTGCGTCATGAAATCCCCTGCCTTTCCGAGCCTCTTCAAGTGCCCTGTACCGATGATCTCTTCAAACTTTGCCCGGTGTGCCCAGACATGCTCTACACCTCAAACCTACAACAAAGACCCGAACAAAAGCCAAAGCGCCTGACCCTCGAAGATCTGTTCGAAGAGCTTCAGTCAGCTTGTTGACCCTGGCACCGTGCGTCCAACAACTAAAGACGTGAGCGGCGTGAAGATTGCAAATCCGAAAAGTCCTGCTCCAGGCTTGCGGGAGGATTTCGGCATACTCCTATGCGCAAAGTCGGGGCATACCGGGCCCAAAAAAAAGTGTTTATAGCATTTTATAGTGCAGGGCAGAGGCATCCTCACATGAAAGTGAGTGCTCATCGATGAGCCGCAGGAGCTCCTGATATCCACGAGACCACTCAGCGCGAACCGCCCTCTTATGCAATCTTGACATAGCACATGGTGATGCAAACCAAGCAGACGGTCTTTCCCAGAAGCACAATGTGTCCGAACACATGCCACTCACGGCAGTTATTAGCAGTCGTTGCCACATTCCTCTGTCAAGTTCAAGCCCGTATAAGAAGCGTCTCTTGTCCAGAGGACATGTTGCCTGGTTCTCTCACCTTCATGCTTCGTGATGATATGGCCAGACCAGCAAGTGCTTCATGTTCTGTTACTTCGTTTGCCGTAGCAACCAATACTGGAAAATATAAATACGTTGCGGTTTCACATCGGAGCTGGACGTCGATATCTACATGTCGGCTGCTCAGGACACCACACTGCACCAACGAGCCATGCAGGCAGAAACCGTGCGATAGGGTGGACATGCCAATTCCGCCAAAAGCTGCAAGGTGTGGTGTGGCCCGAAGAGGACACGATACGATCCTGAATAATCCTGCATATCGTCCTGAAGTGAAGGGAGTGGCTCTGCCAGGATGTTGCGGATGATGCCAGTGGTCCGTTCTGAACTAGACAAAGATGTACGGAATACGTAAGCGGGGATGCGCAGGATCAACAAGTAATTGAAGGAGCAGATGACAAAGGGATAACTTTTTCTTTTCGCGCATGCTTGTTTGTGAGCGGTGTGGAGCCTCAGCGGCCGCCAGTCTCGAGAGTGAAAACCGCAAGTTGGCTGAACAGCGAGAACGACAGCTCGGGCTAGGTGTCGCGACGCTTACGCCGCGAAGCGCAGGCGGCGGAAGAGGAGCACCCGGAACCCTGCAGGGGGGGGATGGTGACTGGGAGCAAGGTGGTGAAAAGCGTCTCGAACGAGCTGGACACAAGCTCGGCCGGCGTGCCGCTGGCAGCCTCGGAGGCGGTGGCCTGGCTGGTCTCGGGAATCGGTGGGCGCGAGGCGTGGAGGCTCGGAGGCATCCCAAGCGGGGCTTGGCAGTTTTGGGTAGCCAGGTGGCTAGCGGCTTGTGCCACGACGGCCGCTGACCCGATGGCATGGGGTAACCCAGCAGATGGCTGCGGTTGCGTCCTGTTTCTCCAGCATGCCAAAAAGGGTGGCACATGATGTGCCAAGCTGGACTTATGTTGTGAGCAGCTCCTTACCGTGGTGGTACACACTATGCGAATCGACAGTGGCTCAGAAATCACTCGGACATCATCCGCACACGCACCAAACCACACAGCAGCCGGCCTGTCTGTCGACTCATATAGATGGAGGAAGCAGGCGGCCCAACGGAGGGACAAGGCAGCCAGGTGGCAAGATACGAGTAGGCTTTGCCAGCGCGTGCACCCAAACCCAAACCTGCTGCTGGCCAGAACTGTGTGCTCGTGAGAACCCAGACATAGACATGCCTGTCCTTGCCAGGAACACTCTTCGCTGTCCGCAAAGCCTGCAGCATTGCGAGGGTGCTGTTTTCGACCTCCTTCTCAGGACCTTGGAATGCAATCAGCGTCGGCAGCCCTCACGGCAAGATTCATCCAAGACTTGCACGTCTGACCATGGGTTCGGAAGCACGAATACCCCCACCCAGAGCCTGCTTGGCGACAAATGCAAGCTCGAAGCTCAACTGCTGCCTGCCTGGGCTTCTCGGATGGAGTCTGGCATGCCATTTGTGTTGGCATCGCCTGCAGGCGCGAGCTTCTAGCAAGTCAAAGTAGTGCAGAAATGAAGCAAAACCTACGAAAACTTATCAGGAACAAAGGGCCAGCGGCAAATTAGTAAGGTCATTCGGAGGCCAGCACTTTCGAACACGACCCGAACTGGAGTCGGGGCTGGGCCGTCGGCTCTTACAACTTGGCGGCGCGGGTTTGACTTCTCGCCCTCACACTCGGACTCCGCCGGACAAGGTTTCTTAACAAAATTTCGCGATTCCATTTGTTTGATCCGCTTTCTGTCTCCCCAACTCGCTCCGGCTACAGAGGTCTCGGCGAACACCACTTCAGGCCGTAACTCTGCCTGAGCCGTCGCGCATTGTCAAAACACTGCCGGCAGAAAAGGCTTAACGCGGCCGAGTGGCTCCCTTCTTGCACTGTCTACACCACGCGACACTGAGACCGCGTGGGGGGCTTCTGCTTTTACATTGAACCTTGGAGCTGAAACCCATACTATACTGCACATTCGTCCTGCATCTCAGACAAGCATGTGTGCGCAAATCTGAAGAGTATCGAAGATCTGCTCCGAAACCGACTGCCTGCCTCCGGGCGGTACAGGCTGACATGGCGGACTGCAAGCCGAAAATTTGTCACACCGCAACGTACACGACTCAGTCGTGTCAAGCTTCCAAGCTTGCAGGTGCTATGGTGGTCGCATCTATGAGACCCTGCCAAGTCTTCAAACAATCCTTTTCTCGATCGGGCAAGACACGGCAACGCTCACTGCTTCCCTTTTCTCTGGCCTTTTCCTCGGCTTCTCATGTCTGATATCAAGCGCAACCAACACCAAAACCCACGTTCGGCGTCTTCCTACTACACTCAAGTCTGGCTGAGAAGTACAAGGTAAGTTGGCGGCAGGACTTGAGTTGGGTGTGCGGGGCCGTGGGTCTGCCGGAACGAAACCTGTCGAACAAAACACGACCAAACCACCAATGAACACCCAAGCTGACTGCAGGGCGCATTCCGAACTCGGTTTAACGTTTAACAGAAATTAATCTGGATGATCGCCGCTAAGCTGCGCTTTCCCTTGCCCTTGGTTGTGACATCCTTGCACAGTGGGTCCGCTCCGTCACTGCGAATCGAAATGGGTACTGTAACTTCGACAAAGTTCTTGGTCTGAGCCTCCGACAGGCTCCTCCTCTGCATCGCTGTCGACGGCGTCATCGCTAAAACTTTTACCTTCTCGGAATCAAAGGCAGGCAGCTTTCAGGAAACAACGTCCGCTGCGCGGCTCGACCCTCCACGCGGTTCGATCCTCGGGTAGCACGCTCTACTGCGACATACTGCGACGTGGCATTTTACCCGTCGCCCAAAGCATAACCACCATTAACCACCGTCACCGCCCAAAAGCCATCCGCTCAACCCTGGGCACTCCGGTGGCTCTGTCTTCTCCGTATTTGGTGGGCAGCCCAAACCCTTGAGGAAACCCTCCTAAAAAGGTTGGGAGGGAGGAGTGTTGCTCTTCCCACAGCGTCAGCTGGCCGTTGGTGTGGCATCGCTTTCCGTTGGTTCTGCCGGATGGACGTCAACCAGTGCACGACTCATCTCATATTAAATCGGTACTTATCATGGCAGCAAAGTGAAGTGAGGCTATTCCTATCGTCAACGGCTAAATCTCCGACGGGCCAGATAGTATATTCACGCACGCTATCGCACTCGAGGATCGAAGCACTGAAGGCGGGGCGTCGCACCAGCCAGGCGGAGCCGATGATGCTCCGATCATGTGTGACATGCTGGCATGCGTGAACACATTTGCACAAATCCAGAAGGTCGCCTGCTGCTTTTCCTGAATCTTTGCCTTTGCCTTTCACTTTGCCTTTCGTGCTGCCCTTGCTGCCTTTGGCAAGGGGAATTGCTTCATCGCCGGTCTCGTCTTCAAGCTCATCACTGTCTTCCTCGAGCGCTCCCTTAGAGGTCTTGCCTTTCTTGCCTTTCCCCAATTCTTTACCTTTGCCTTTGTCTTTTCCTTTCCCTTTGGGGGGGTTTACAAATTCTGTCTCCTCCAATTCCTCCTCTTCCTCGGGGTCTTCTTCTTCCTCCTCCTCCTCCTCCTCCTCCGGCTCCTCCTCCTCGTCCTCCTCATCCTCCTCCTCCTCTTCCTCTCCCTCTTCCTGCTCGTCCTCGCGTTCCTGTTCTTCTCCTTCCTCCTCCTCTTCCTCCTGCAACTCCTCTTCACCATCTTCCTGCAACTCCTCCAGCACTTCATTTTCCGAGCTTGAGCCCTAAGCCTTAAATGCCGGTCCACTGCCCTACGCACAATGACGGCGGTGCAGATATCACGCAAGCTACGTAGAGGCAACACAGAAAGGAGCCTAATTCATGTGATCAGCACTCCTGTTCCTCCTCCTCCTCTTCGGCATCCACATCCTCAGCGCTGGGCTCTACATCGTGCTCGGAAGGCAGTTCCTCCTCATCCTCCTCCTCTGCCTCATCGTTGAGTTGCTCATCATCCTGAGGGCCACCCAGTTCATCCTGTTTGCCAGAATCCCGGTCGCGAAGGTATGTTTCTTCTTGGTCACCAGCGGCTTGCTTATCTATCCTTTCTGAAGCACCCGGTGCCTGTCGGTGCGCCGTCTCGGCCTCCTCTTGCCGAAGTTGCTGAAGACCATTGCCCTTGCCACTTGAGTCAGCCACTCCTCTAGAGCTGTCAGGGGCTTCGCTTTGGCTTTTGCCCATGCGGCCCTTCCTGCCATTTCCTTTGCTGCTGGTGCTCTCCCTGTTGTCTTGCCAATTCCATGACTCCCATCCTGAATACCTTATTTGCACTTGAACTGAAAACAAGTCTGCTTCCGCTGTTTACCCTCAGAGCGTCTTCAGCTAGTCAGTCCAAGGGTCTCCCAGGCAGCCCATGAAGCCGAAGCTCCCCACCATCCACTGCCCTTTCCTCGACCTTTCTGGCCCATGGTCTCGCAAACGCGAGAGCGTTGTCAAACGCATGGACTCACACTGCGAACATGAAAACGTCTGAGTCTGGCTCGGGAGTGATCCTTTGAAAAAAGTGGCAGATGGCCGTTGCAGTTGCGGGTGCTTCTGTGTTGCGTGGTCTAAATCTTAGACTAGACTTCTACAGTGTCCAACAGGAAACATCGACTCCTCGGCTGCAGCACATATGCCCGCAAACAACATGGAATGCCACATGCCACATTCTTTCAAAGGGAGACGGGCAAAGGCTTTCACACACTCCAGCCCACATTCGCGCTACCCCGCGAGCATCCAACTTTACTATGCGCTGGCTGAGCGGTTCAGGAATCCCACGGGCAGCAGCTGCTCTGAAAACGTCTTGAGGCTGTCCCTTCTTCACAATCCACCGGGTATGAGGCGTTGTCCAGACAAGCTCGGCATGCCCTGTAGCAAGAGCTATCATGTGCAATCCGTTGGAGACTGATTCGTTCCACTCTTCGGGTGCATATCTTTTTCCAGTTGTGCGAGCACGCCGCAGACCTCGTTTTCGGATGATCTCCCTGTCCCCCAGTACCATGACCACATGATTCGTGTATCCTCGTCTGTGCAAGAAATACAGCAAAGGCGCACATTCAGACAAGTAGTCGCAGGTATGTGGAATGAGGACATTGAGCCTATCTCTGGTGGCTCGACGCAGTAACCGAGATTTTTCGTGCCGTAGCCTAGATCGCATCGCTGGGTATGCCGCTCGCCAAACACAATGCAGTCTGCGCCCCTCTTGTATCACGGCCTGATAGCCACTGTGCCAGTTGCGAAACGAACTACCGTCCAAAAGCACAGCATTCGGCTCGTCAGTGGGCAGAAATGCTATGCCAAAGCCTTTTGCCACGTCATGTGTTAGGTAAGACTTGCCAGCAGCAGACGGTCCCACCAACCACACCGCCACCGGCTGCTGCTGCCGGGTCGCTTGGCCCAGCCCAGCCTCCCATCTAGCAGCATCGACTTCAGCTGCTCGGAATGGCCGATACAATGCTGACATCAGGAATGGGGACAGCTTGTGCCCAATTTCTTCGCATTCCTGTGGATTGGCTGATCGCTGCCATCTTACCCAGAAGAACGCGAGTATCACCGTCGATGGGCATAGCAGCTGAGCGGTTCGCCGCATGTCGGAGCCGAGCTGGAGGAGGCAACACTTGGCCTATGCTCACATGGACCAGTAAGCTTCTCCCGTCAACAAAACTCTCGCAAGCAGCCCTTGGGAGTTTAATGAAGAACACATGTGCGAAGAAAGCAGCTAGCCGGTGCAAACAGATTCCCTTCGCAAGTCCGGGCACCATGCATTTCGCCAACGCAGAATGCTCACCGCATCATCAAAAGTCCCCGCGGCCTGTTGTCAAAAATATTCCTTGTAGCAGGGATATCTTCATGTGCTGTAGCTAGACACTAGTCAATATCAACATCCTAGGGCTGGCTCCTAGGGTTTTCTCTTCTAGCCTCATAGTCCGTGTAAGTCTATGTGCGGTGAGGGTTGTGCTGAATCCATGCCCGTCGCGGCCTTGTGCCGCAGCAGCAGCAGTTGCAAGCCAGCACTTGATTGCAGCTGCAACTGCGCATGCCGAAAACTGACAAAGTTGATCTGCATGCCATCTTCAGATGCACTTCGAAAAAAGTGTCTGCCATCTCACTTTCAGTGTGAGGCAAACATTCATGCAGCCGGCAAACAGGTTGGCCATCAAATTCTTAGCATAAGAGACCGGCCTTGTGTCCAAGTCGAGGGAGAGAGAAGGGAGAGCCATTCCCAGCGATTCGCAAGACCAAAAAGCAGTGAAGGAACTTCGCTGTAGCTGCGGCGACCGACCTATGTACTAGAGTTACTACAGCATGCTACGCGGCTATGCGGTGCTCGAGACTCATACACCGTATCATGTTCACGGCAGTTGAAGCTCGACAGAACAAGTCAAGCACTTGGGAATAGCCTGATTCTCTGCATGGGGTTTGCCGCAAATGTCTGGTAGACTGCGGCAGGACTTTCCGTGTAGGCCCGCGTGAAACGGCGTCACTATGCTCTTTACACGCGAAAGACACCAAACCTCAGACGACAGTATGCAAGATCGCGCCCCGCGTCGGACCGGTCTATGAACTGAAATCATGGGTCAAGGAAGAAGGTGCGGGCCGATCTTTGATGCGTCGTTGTCTGCTGAGGTGTGCCTCAGGAAGCAGATGTGGTCTGCTTAAGCAGGCACACGGACGGAATAGGTGCACGATGCAGCTTGCCAAATGTGCGCTTTGCCGGCCTCGCGGGATACGACGGACAGCAATTCACTGTCCTGCTCGAAGCAGACTCTCCGCCTGAAAAAAATCTTGAAAATTAACAATTCCACCGCACTTTCTGAACTTTGCAAGCAGCCACTTGGTAGAGTTGGCATCAGGCCCACGCGCAGCATTGGAAGGCGGACTGGAGGTCGGAGAGGACTGGCACAAGAAAAGCACAGCGTATGACGGCGCTTGTTGAAAAGTTCTTCCTGTGCTTCACACTCTTCCGAGATGGCGATCGAGTGCAAACAAGCGAGACTCTTGCCGCCATTACATGGCGACATCTAGAACTCAGCGACAGAACCCTTTCCAGTTCCAGGGCCCTTGCGGCTGGACGCGGCGCGACGGCTCGGCCGAGGAGCGTTGGCCTCACGCGACTCTGCTTTTTGGAGCCAGCTGCACTTTTGTGCAGCCTGTCCAACACCACGATGCGGCAGCTTTGACCGCTCGCTGGTGAACTCATGAAGTAGGGCACCTCTCAGTTGCCACAGCGCGTCTGTCAATCTCCTTTTCCTTCGACGGCGGCCTGCAAAATGCGAAGTATCCAAGATGCTGTTGCGGCATCTGCCGGTCTGTCGCTGAGAGACGGGCGTGGAGCTCGAAGACTTAAAATCGAAGCGGTCCTTGGGACGAGGAGTCAGACACTGAGCCAGGGCACTACTTTCACTACTGGCACTCCCGGCAGACAAGAAATACGAAGCTGTTCGGCGCCTGCCTCTGGGTTGAAGACCAGGGATGTTTTTGGAGTCGTTGGAGTCTTCGGGGTCTTCGGCGTCTTCGGTGTCTTCGGCCTTGCGAAACGAAGACAGATATTGAGTCTAGCTCGAGGAGTGCGTGAGTACTTGCTGTCTCCTCCAAGGGCCTGGATGAGACTGGGGTTGAAAATGTTTAAGCCCCAATAGTCTGACTGCGCATGCTCGCAAAACCGTGCAAGCAGCTGCCGCACATGCGTCTCTTTCTGCTTCGGGCTCCGTTGGAGTGGACTTGCCCGATGCACTGCCTCTATGCAGCTATGCATGTCGCACCACCGAAGTCGGCAGATTTCCGGCCAGGTACCCGCGACTGCCGATTTCCATTCCCGCGGGAAAGTTTGAATCGTCACAACGAAGTCATCATCAACAAAGGGATGGTCAGAGACAAGTGAAGCACCTGCATCAGACCGTGACCACGGGAACAGCGAACATGAAGGGCTCACGGACCGCATCCAACAAGTAATTCATATCTGCCGCATGAGAGGATCGGAAGGTGCCGACCATCAGCAACATTTTCCCTCAGTATCAACTCATGCTTTTCGCAATCCATGAAGGTCGTGTTGAGCAACGACGGCCACGCAGAACCAAGGGGCGTCCCTGCTTTTCAGAGTGATTCCAAACAACAAAGACTCCGACGAACCACGGCTTGCGTCGAAGAGTACAAGGCACAAGGCATGGGAGGCATGGGCAAGGGCAAAGGCAGCTTTTTGAATCTGCCTGGCGCTCTGCCATTTCAGCATAAATACGCAGACCAATCCGAAAGTGCTGGCATCGATCCGTCCATCATCATCCGTCCATCACTTGCTCTGTTCATCCATCCTTCGTCCATAACGAAACCATCATTCAACCATCATCCATCCATCCATCCATCCATCCATCCGTCCGTGCATCCATGCATGCACGCATGCACACATGCATACATAAGTACATAAGTACGCGCATGTCATTACATTCATTCTCATATTGACCATTCAGACATTTAGTCATTCTTCCATTCATTCATCCATTCAGTCATTCATTGGAACTTCATTCATTTCATTTCGTTTTGTGTCATTTCATTCCATTTCATTTCATTTCATTTCATTTAATCCTTCTTTCATTCATTTCAATTCCATCCATTCACTCATTTCAATTCCACCCATGCAGTCATTCATTCATGCATTCATTCATTCATGCATTCATTCATTCATTCCGTCATTCACTCACTCGCTCAGTCATTCTGCCCATCATTCTTTCATTTCACTCATTCATTCGTTCATTCGTTCATTCATTCATTCGCTCATTCGTCCATGTGTTCATTCATTCCATTCATTCCATTCATTCCATTCATTCCATTCATTTCATTCATTTCATTCTTTTCAGTCTTTTCATTCATTGCATTCATTTCATTTCATTTCATGTCATTTTTACATATTCATTCTTTCTTTCACTTGATGTCATCTCATCTCATTTCCATCCATCCATTCATTTCACTCTTTTCATTCATTCCATTCAAGCGTTCAGTCTTTAATTCATTCATTCATTCATTCATTCATTCATTCATTCATTCATGCATTCATTCATTCCTTCATTCCTTCATTCACGCACTCACTCGGTCATTCGTTCATTTCACTCATTCGTTCATTCGTTCACTCATTCATTCATGCATGCTCTCATTCATTCCATTCAAGCGTTCAGTCTTTAATTCATTCATTCATTCATTCATTCATTCATTCATTCCGCTCGTTGGCTGCCTGCCTGCCTGGCTGCCTGGCTGCCTGGCTGCCTGGCTGCCTGGCTGCCTGCTTGCTTGCTTGCTTGCTTGCTTGCTTGCTTGCGTGCTTGCTTGCTTGAAGGGCATATGGGGTCGTCGGGTTTGTCGGTGTGAGACTGACGTGATCCCCGATTCCAATGTGGTATTCTGCGCCCCCTGAACTGAGCCCCGATTCCCTGTGTCC